CACCACCACACCTGGCTAATTTTCCTATTTTTTGTAGAGATGGGATCTCGCTCTTGCTCAGGCTGGTCTTGAACTCCTGACCTCAAATGATCCTCCCGCCTCAGCCTCCCAGAGGCTGGTGCATGCCTGTAATCCCAGCTACTTGGGAGGCTGAGGCAGGGGAGGATCACAGGAGCCCAGGAGTTTGAGGTTGCTGTGAGCTAGGTTGATGCCATGGCACTCTAGCCTGGGCAAAAGAGCGAGATTCTGTCTCAAAAAAAAAAGGACTATGCAAAGGAGACCCCTGCATGGTCTATTGGAGTATTCATTCATTCATGGAGTATTCATTTTTTTTTCATTAGCATGATTTACCAATCAAGTATTTTTTTAAATTAAGGTATGCATATTATGTTTAGACATAATGCTATTGCACACTTAACAGACTACAGTATAGTGCAAACATAACTTATATACACTGGGAAACAAAAAAAATTGTGCGCTCCACTTTATTACAATATTTGCCTTATTGCGTTTGTCTGAAATCAAAGCCACAACATCTCCTGTGTAGGTTTTCAGCCAGTTTCCTTGCTTGTTTGTTTATTTTATCCCAACTTGACACTTCAGAACTACCTGACACTTTTGGTCTCAGAGCTGTCGGGGGACAGTGCACCTTGCTGCTTGTTGAGCTTTTCCCGCTGACCTCTTGCCCTCCCCTCCCTATTCCTACACATCTCAGGGACTAAGCAGAGTGGAGAAAGCTGACATGTAAGTTAGTTAAAAAACTGACAAGAGGTGGAACGTTCATTTTAAAGACAAGGTATTCCAGGGAGTAGCGATAGAAGCAAGGGAGGGACAGTAGCACTGAAGAAATCTTGGTCAACTAAAGAAAGCAAACCACTTAGATAATAAAACATAAGGCTTCGCGAGTGAATGAGTTGAAAACGTGTGGCGCATTTCTGTTTTATCATTGTTTTCACATTACGCTTTACTTCTTTCCAGGCAATTTCCATAAGTTATATGGAACCAGGGAACCAAACAGCTATTTCAAAATTCCTCCTTCTGGGACTTTCAGAAGATACAGACCTGCAGCCCGTCCTCCTTGGGCTGTTCCTGTCCATGTACCTGGTCACTGTGTTTGGGAACCTGCTCATCATCCTGGCCGTCATCTCTGACGCCCACCTCCACACCCCCATGTACTTCTTCCTCTCCATCCTGTCCTTTGTTGACGTCTGTTTCGCCTCCACCACGGTGCCCAAGATGTTAGTGAACATCCAGGCGCACAGCAGAGACATCACGTACAAAGGCTGCCTCGCCCAGATGTGTTTTTTCTTGATTTTCGGTGGGCTAGACAGTTTGCTACTGACGGCAATGGCCTATGACCGGTTCGTGGCCGTCTGTCACCCCCTGCGCTACACGGTCATCATGAACCCCCGCCTCTGTGGTCTTCTGCTTCTGGTTTCTTGGTTAATCTGCCTGACGTATTCTCTGCTGCAAAGTTTGATGGTTTTGAGGGTGTCCTTCTGCCAAGAGGCAGAAATCCCCCACTACTTCTGCGAACTAGCTTACATCCTCAAGCTCGCCTGCTCTGACACCCTTGTTAATGACGTCCTGCTGTATTTTCTATCTGGTCTGCTCGGTGCTATTCCCCTGACTGGGATCCTTTTTTCTTATTCTAGAATTATCTCCTCCATAATGTGCATTTCCTCTGCTGGAGGGAAGTACAAAGCCTTTTCCACCTGTGGGTCTCACCTCTCCGTCGTCTCCTTGTTCTATGGTGCAGGCCTTGGGTTCTACCTAACTTCTGGAACAGCCCAGCCCTCCAGAAGGGGTTCAATAGCCTCGGTGATGTACACCGTGGTCACCCCCATGCTGAACCCCTTCATCTACAGCCTGAGGAACAGGGACATGAAGGGCGCTCTGAGGAGACTTCTCCGCAGAGGAACTTGCTCTCTCAGTGAGATCATGGAAGCCAGGCCCTGATCCTTCACAGAAAAACATAGTTTGAGTTCTTCAGTAACGGAATAAGCCACTGGGAGAAGCTGGGTCTACTCCCACTCAAAAGCAGATCATTGCTCACTTGGGGAAGGACCGGGAGGAATTACACAGGCACATGAGGGAACTTTTGGGGGTTCACTAGTTTGATTGTGGTGATGGTTTCATGCGGTGCACATAGGCCAACATGTGTCAGGTTATAGCCTTTAAATAGGTGAATTTCCTACATCTCAATAAAGCAATTCCCTCTCACTTGGACTCATGCAAGAGAAACACGTTCGCCTTGTGGCCAACTGCAAAAAAGAAAGTCTGCGGTGTCTTCCTTTCCTTGTACCCAAGCCCCTACTGTGTAACTCTGCCCTTCCGCTCTGGGCTCACCCACGTGGCTACAACGGCCCATGGGGTGTAGGCAAAACAGACACGAGCTGGCGCTTGCCAAGTGTTTCCTTGCGTGTGCAGTGGACCTTGTGCTCCTCCAGACTCCCCCAGCAACGTGTGCACACGCCCTGCCTGGCTGGGGGAGGAGACCTTGACTGAAGAACAAGCGACCCCCCCACACACACCACCTGGCAACAGGCTGCGCAAGCCAGACAGGAAGAGAACTCACTCCCCGGGCTGAGCACAGCCCAGATGGCCAACCCACAAACTGTAAAACCACCGTGGTTGCTTTAATCCGCTGTTTTGGGTGGTCACGCAAAAGCTAATGGAAACAGGCCTCCTTCGTCCCACTCCTCGATAGGGTACGAGTTTCCTGGCTCAACTGCAAACCGTACTGGACGTCATTGGATTCCCATCAATTTCCAATTAATATTGAAATTGAGACTTACGTACGTGTGTGTGTGTGTGTGTGTGTGTGTGTGTGTTATACAATGTGCCATATTACACTTAAGCTTTTTTTTGAGACAGAGTCTCACTCTGTTGCTCAGGCTAGAGCGCCGTGGCGTCTGCCTAGCTCACTGCAACCTTAAACTCCTGGACTCAAGCAATCCTCTTGCCTCAGCCTTCCGAGTAGCTGGGACTACAGGCATGCACTACCATGCCCGGCTAACTTTATATATACATATTTTTTAGTTGTCCAGCTAATTTCTTTCTATTTTTAGTAGAGACAGGGTCTCACTCTTGCTCAGGCTGGTCTCGAACTCCTGAC